GGTGTCATTCAAAACTTTTTTATTCGAGTGGGGTAAGCTATCGACACGGCTAAGGTAACAGTGAAAACCCTCCTCTATTAAGAGGATACAGTTGTCATGCAAAACTTTTTTATTCGAGTGTGGCAAGCTGTCGACACGGCTAAGTTAACATTGAAAACCTTCCTCTATTAAGGGGATACAGTTGTCATTCAAAACTTTTTTATTCGAGTGTGGTAAGCTATCGACACGGTTGAGGATACACTGAAAGCCCATTTCTATTAAGTGGATAATGTTGTCATTGGTGTCTTTGTTTACAATGAATTCGAACAAAAGTTAGCAAGCAATATCCGTGCAATGTTCACGGTGACAAATAGACAAATTACCTTTAAATAACTTTGCTAATATCCAATTGTACCATTGGAAACAAAGCATGGAGTGCCAGCACTAAGCTGTTACAATTTGTACGGCATTTGAAGACCACTGTATAGTTGATATACTTATTGCTAATATAGCTTATAAAAGATAAATGAAATGCCAAAAAGTGTATAATTTGTAAACCAGTGACCGTTACAAAGGCATGAACACTTAGATCAAAATTTATTTAATATATTTTAATAATCAATAGCCTTTCATTACACCTGTTTTCTATGACAAAGGAATGTTCGTTGTTTTGATATTCAAATTGCTTATGCAACTGAAAATCCAGAGTACATTTTATGGTCACTGGTTAATCATATTATTACGTAAAATTTCCACCGAGATAATATTTTTTGATGCTATAATGGAAATATTCGACCATTTCAGACTGTCGTTACTTTGATATATATGCGATTTTATTCCATAAAAGGGGAGACCACTCAATCGCGAAATACTATTGGATAGGCAAATAGTCTCATAACGGTTATCATATAGATCATTTGGTTAGAGAGTCGGACTACATTACATATATATCAGTCGTTCCACTACCCCTATGACTAGAGATGCCGGTCAAACAAGAGGTATTTTGAATTCTAATTCATTTGAGTTTTAACACGGCATTTGATTGGGACGGTATAACCACGGTCCGAAGTACTGACCTTAAAATTTCCTGAACTTGATTATTCGTGACGTCGCGAACAATAACGTGTTCCATTACGTGACATTAAGTCCTTATCTACGTCAAAATGGATTGCATAAAATCAGTCGAATTAAAACATAGTTTATATATCAAGAAAACACTTGAGATATGCATAGCGTACTTTATTTATCTGCCATAAGTCGAAAACAATATATGGCTCGTTGAAGTCCTTTAATAACCATAGCTGTTAATAGGACATAACACACCAACAAACCAAATAATACATGGATATCGTCAAAACACAATGACAAAATTGACCACAGTGTCAACACATAATGACAAAATTTACCACAATGTCAACACACAATGACAAAATATATCACAGTGCCAACACACAATAATGAAATATACCAGTGCCAACACAAAATGTTAAAATATACCACGGTGTCAACACACAATCACCAAATATACCACAGTGTCAACACACAATGACAAAATATATCACAGTGCCAACACACAATAATAAAATATACCAGTGCCAACACACATTGACAAAATTTACCACGGTGTCAACACACAATCACAAAATATACCACAGTGTCAACACCCAATGTCAACATATATCACAGTGCCAACACACATTGACAAAATTTACCACGGTGTCAACACACAATCACAAAAAATACCACAGAGTCAACACACAATGTCAACATATATCACAGTGCCAACACACAATAATAAAATATACCAGTGCCAATACACATTGACAAAATATACCATGGTGTCAACACACAATCACAAAATATACCACAGAGTCAATAGACAATGACAAACTATACCACAGCATCACCAACCAATGTCAAAATATACCACAGTGTCAACAAATAATGATAACATATGCCCCAGTGTCAAAACACAATGACAAAATTAACCACAGTGTCAACACACAATGACAAAATATATCACAGTGCCAACACACAACAATAAAATATACCAGTGCCATTTGGTGCAACAAAGTAAACAATTGCCGCACCATTTGACCATTTTGTCATATTTTGCACCAATCACCAAAATATTAAAAGTGTCTTAAAGTGTTCCAAAACACAACTATTGATACCAAAATAATAAAAGGTCATTCGAGTTTCGAGTTGAAAAAGAACAAGATCATGCAATATCTTTGTTGTAATACCCATTTGGAATTTCGTAGTCCAATACAAGAATATGATAAAGTGAAAGTTAGTAAATCAAACATAAGTATGAATCTGAATATATGTGATGTTTACATAGCACGTGTCAAGTATTTTTTTTTTTTAACAAATCAAAGACATTTGTTTCGAGCAACTGCCATCAAATACCGACTTTGTTCAGTTCCAGGCCTTCCAGGGCTTGTCTTTTAACAAGTTTCTTGTCCATTTTTGCCATTTTTATTCATTTACAATTTAGGGTTCCAATACATCAATACAATACAGTGAAATATCATTTACTCAATGATAACGACAGGATTTAGTTAACACTGAAAGACTAATTCAATATATTGAATACTGATGTCATTAAGTGTCTTTGCCTATAACGAATATGAATAAATGTTTTGTCTCAGAGATAAACATTTAAATCATTGTTTTATGCATGTGCTGACATCAAATAAAACATTTGCAAAAAAAAAGTATGGATATAGGAAGCTTAAGTTAGAAACATTAAGTTGCTATTTAGTATTTATGATAAATGGGACCTCATTGACTTACACCTATGTGAATGTTAAAGATGCGGTATTACAATTCCTCCTAGAGCATTTAAATGACACAATTACTATAAAACTCATCACCGTGTGCAACATATTACAACTGTTATTTTGATACCGAACATCACACTATTCAAGAAATGTTCTTTTTATGAAAGATTTAAGCAGAAAAGTATGTTAAATTTCATTACTAATGAGAAAGTGTTCATACTCGTTAAAAGGTTGCTACTTATTATATTTTTCGAAATCATGAATTTCAAAAAAAAATGACAACCGGTAACCGTAACATAGCCTACTTTCCACTTTTCCTTTAACTTATGTTTCTTCATGACCAACGGTCCTTATAGTGGGTTTTTTCGCAAGTAGGATGTTTATGTGAATGGATTTAAGTTTTGTAAACGTTGGCGACCTTGACCTTCATTTGCTAAAATAATTTTGTATGGGGAGTCAGACAAGGAAATTTGATTAACGAGTTAACTATATAAAATAATGTTATATTCCTTCATATTTTGTTTAATGAATGGGCAATAGGCAAAATAAGATAATACCTAGAACTGTAAGACATAGGCTAACTAATATCCCCGGCTCCTATAAAAACCAGAACTGCAAGCTAAAGACTAACCAGGCAAAGCGTTGCAAAGCAATCCATAATCTTCCACCAGTAACTATTTAAGTATATAGGTCACTGCCATACTTCCTGTACACCCTCCCCATGCCAAAATATATTTGCATACCAAGTCTTGTTTGCCCAGATGAACCAGTTTTGCTGAAATCGTCCAAGTAGTTAAAGAAGGGTTGTCAAGCAAAGTTTTATAACAAAGGGTCATAACTCCTTAAAAAGGGTCGAAACATTTATTTTTTTTACTTTACAGCAAATGGCCATAACTCAATTTTAATGTTCGGAATGAAAACATATTACTTGGATGCACAATGTCAGGGGGCAGTTACCATATCTGTTAACTGCCGTTGAAATTGGCCTCATGGTTTTGGAGGAGTTGTCTGGACGATTATTTTTCGACAAAGGGCCATTATTCCGTAAAAAAATAGTCAGATTGAAAAATATTACTTGGATGCACAACATCAGGTAACAGTTATAATATCTGAAAACTTTCATCGAAATTGACCCCTCAGTTTTCGAGGACATTTCCAGACAAGGATTTTTCAACAAAGGGCCATAACTTTGATAAAAAAAGTGTCAGCATGAAAAAATAATACCTGGATGCAAAACTTCAGGTGATAATTATTATATCTGGAAACTTTCGTTGAAATTGGTCCATTTCTTTAGAAAATAACCGGTGTCTAAAAACAAAATACCTAGATGCAAAACTTCAGGTGATAGTTATCATATCTGGAAACTTTCGTTGAAATTGGTCCATTTCTTTAGAAGTTGTCCGGACAAACTTTTACTACGGACAAGCTGATTCCAGCAACCCCCCTCCCCCACCCACCCACACACACACCTACAGTCGTTTTTGGTTTTTTTTTTTTGGGGGGGGGGGGCATACTAAATTGTATAATAGTTTTACTCTTTAGATTATTTTATTGTTTTTATATAATTGCATCTCTTTGTCTAAACACCATTTCAACCTGAAAAACTACATCGGCAGAATACATTTTCGTGAGGTATTACATGTACTGCTGCGCATAACTTTAAAACATTCGTAAAGGAACAAAGCGTTTTGGAATGATACAAAAAGCAGAAAATGTATCGGTATTTACCATAATAAACATTGATAATCAAATCTCACTGATAATGTGAAATTGGGCATTGAACATGTTTGGCATGCTAAAAAAGTACATTACCGGTTTTGATATTACATAAAAATTATTCGGTAGACAGAATATAAATATGGAAAGTTTTTAAAGAAGTATGAAATATAGACTGCCATTGCAACTGTATTTAGGCAAGTTGACAATGTTGGTTTTATTTTAAAATTTGTTAAAAAATATTCTAATTAATAGTATCACTACCCTTATTTTATGTATTCTAGTATGACATATTTAGCATCAAAATAACAGTAATTGTATACACTGTACACTATCATAATTCATTTTTAAAATAACATTCGTCTGTGACATTTATCTGTCATTCAACCTGGTGTTATGCAAGGAGGTCCACTACGGTTATCAGTAGTAATTATGAATAATCATTTATGCAGTTATTGATCATTTTATATTTTTACATATGGCAAAAAAGAAGAAAAAAGAAATTAATGTGGGGCCAATTATTGACCCCATCTTTGAATAAAATCGAACAATATCTAAGTTCCGACAAATCAGAAGCCAGTATATGGCAGCCATTTTGTCGAATCAGAAATCCGATACCTCAGTTGAGTTTGCAGTCTTAAAATACATCTACGTACTCAATTTGAGTGAAATCGAACAATATCTGTATTTCGACCAATCAGAAGCTAGAATACCGAGGTAAAATTGTCGAAACAGAAAAGGATGTCGCTGCTTAGTTAACAGTGCCAAAATACACATACATACCTAAAATGAGCCAATTTAATATATATTTAATTTCGACCAATCAGAGGCCGTGGTGGCCATCTTTGTTGACCGATCGGAAAATGAAAACTCATTTCCACACCTCCTTACCATCATGAACACTCGCGTAAAGGTTAATTAGTTCCGTTCAACAGTTTTTCAGAAATGAGTTGGACACCTTCCAGGTGGAAGAAACCGAAAGAAAGAATAATAATAGTAAGAAGTTAGGGAGGTCCACGGTATGTAATATTTTTTAACAAATTGCCATTTTCAAAGTTTAATACCTGTTTTATTTATGACAATAAATCCAATATGACTATGTTGTGGACATAACCTATATACTTATTATAACAACTGCAAAAATGAAAAGGATATCTTTGAAATTTAAAAAGTTACAGCATCTCAAAGATTAAGAAAATGGCTATAAATGCAAATTATCGCATCGCATAGACTGATTAAATTTGGATGTTTGCCAGGTCATAATTTCACTGATCACACATCTACAGTAGCCATCACCTCTAAATACACTGATTTACATTCAACAAATACTAAAATATCTACCGAAATAAGGCTATTATCAGCATAAATGATTACCAAAATTCACAATTTTAACAAATCACTTGATAAAAAAATGACAGTCCAAATTGGTCCTGGCACATTTTCCAAAATATTCATAAATCCTTTTGAAGTTATATTAAAATTGAAGAATATGGTTCATATGTGGACTACAAGAAGAAAAAAATGTAAAATATTAAAATACGAAATAAATGTACCCTCTCAAAACTATTTTAGAAAAATTAAGGGGCGAAACTCTTCAAAAAAGGCCAAAAAGTAAAAAAAGTAAGTTACTTTGAACTAATTACCAATCAAAACATGTTTTACATGATAGCCTGATATGTCAACAAGTTAAAGGTCTTATTCTGATGCATTTCTTTCTAGATTTAAATCTAAAAAAAAGTAATCATGTTTTACACAATTATTTGTTAAATATTGAAATGTTCTTTTCTTTTTTAAATTTCAAAATACATTTCCGCATGAAGACACATCCATGATTTGGAGTAACATTCATCACATTGTTCAAACATGTATAAAAGTCAGGACAAAAACATGGAATTTAAAACTTGGCTTTTTTAGAAGCCAAAGTAACAACGTCATACAATGCATCTTCATCCTCTGAACTTCTGTCCCCTGTCCTGTCCCTGGAAAGTCACCAATGGCTGGAACATGTTGATTGTGTCATCGTCCGATAACGACTAGTCCCCTAATTCTACATATACATTTTTTTGCAATACAAGGAGCTGGAGCTGACTTGGAGATATCACTTAATACAATTCAGGTTTTTTCTTTTTTTCTTTAAGAGCCCTTTTAACACATTAGCACTTTGAACTGGATTAACGGTACATTGCGATATCCACAATGCGTAATGCTTTATTTTTTGTGAGATTTTTTAAAGTCTTGCAGCATCTACACTTTTCAGTCTTGGCCCTATTCAAATTATCTTTCAGTCTTTTTGCTTTCCTCATCCTTCTTTTGCGACGTTTAGCTATTAGAGCAAGCCTTTGCGGCCATACAGAAATAAACCTGTCTTTGGTTTGCTGGCCGCGTGTCCCGAAAAGCTAACGTTTCCTCTTAGTACTTTTCATGGCAACTTCGCAAACTTTGTCTACATCCAGTTTGGAATAGAAGATCCAGTTCACAGGCTTGTCTTGCTTTACAGCAACCAAGCTGGACACATAAGCTGGATTTGAATATTGCGCTATCATCATCTGCCTGCGTATGAAGCACACAATATATAAATTACCACATAACAAAGAACAAAAGAAAGAAAAAAACCCAAACGATTCTTAGAAAGTATCAAAGTTTTTTTTTTTTATTTAAGTATGATGTAGGACTGTATTGTAATGCACATTGGTGGGCTTATTGACTGTCATGGGCTTATTGCCGGATAAAGATGATCATTTTTTTTTTAAAAAGTATGTAACGGACAATCTCTAAATACATCAGCCCAATCATTACCTGTCATTCCAAATGTGCTTTCGATGATGTCATTGGTCATATCTCCTATCGAGTTGAATGCAGAAATGGCCTGTGTTGATGGATTAGCATATATACCATCTGGGAGGTGTTCCTCAGCATGGCTTACCAATTTTGCTCCCCCAGTCTGTACCATTTCTGTTAAATAAGAATATCAAGTTTGTGATAAAATATAATACAATCAGAATTTACACATATGACAAAATTCCTTCAAAATGAATGGGGTAAATTTGGGCAAATACTGGTCGAAATTTTGTATAACATTTTCGCAGGTGTTGGAGATATTTACAAACATTATTACTTGAATTTTTTTTTTAAATAAAAAAATGTGTTTTAATTAATAAATAAATATCGAATATCAACTAACCTTTCAACAAGGATATGAGTAAGTCATTCCTGGCAAATTTCACAGCGATGCGTTCCATGTAGTCATCATATACAGATCGACCTTTCGCACCATGCCATATTGTTTCTGTTCCTGTGATCAGTCCTGAAGGATCCCGACTCCATCGTTCCAATTTGTTCACAGCACACTGATTATAAACGTCCATGTCCAGTGGTGAATTTGCTAATTTTGCTTGTATCAATAGTGGGAAACACACATGGAAATTGAGCAAAGCAGATGCAGCTTCCTCTACATGGACTGCAGAAACCATGTATCCAGCTTCCTCTACCTGGACTGTAGAATCCATGTATTCAGCTTCCTCTACCTGGACTGTAGAATCAATGTATCCAGCTTCCTCTACCTGGACTGTAGTATTCATGTATCCAGTTTGGACAGAATGTTTGACATCTTCCAGGAACAGTAAAACATAATTTCGGGCCGCTAAGGTTGGAATATCGCATTTTGCATAGATATTAAGTAACGATTGCCAACTATTAGTTTGACGTCGTCCAGGTTAAGAGTCACTGACGTTATCTGTGTAGAGGTGAGATGCACTTTTTTGCTGTCATAGCTACAGCCATATTGTTGATTTTTTGTGCATCACAAGTTCTTTTGTTGTGGTGTCATCAATACTGCTTTAACATTTTCTTCAAAGATAGCATCTCTCTTTTCTTTGATGAGTCTTGTCACTTACTTTTCGTTTGCTGCCCGATCAAACATCCGCGAATTTATTCTTGTTACCGAGAATGCTCCTGTTAGTAGTCCAACTCCATGTCGTCCGCTAAAGCTTAATATTACTGCGTATTACAGGGACTGATAGTCTGCAAGTAATTATAACTACCTCAATCTAGTAAAGAAAGATATTTACGAAACATAGTAAACTACGAGACGCCCAAAACTCGTTCACGAAATTATCAAACAAGGTAACTAATCGTTGCACTCTATGTCTATTCCGTTCGCTTTGCACTCATCTGTGGCAGCAACGAACAAAAGGGGACAGTTTCTAAAGTACATAAAGAAATATTCGAAAATGTCCTGAAAGGCGAAAGCGCCTATATGCAGTGAAGGCTAATAAAACAAGAGTATATGGGAATCTGAATAGATATGGTGTATATATTGTAATTATCAAGTATTTAATGTTTTGCGCACAAATAAAAAAATCAGCAACTGCCATTAATTACTGAATTAAATCGAGTTCCAATCTTCCCAGGGCTTGTGTTTTTACACGGGTCCTGTTAGTCTTACCATTACTCAATCTCGGAAACGCATCAAACCTGAGAAAGTAGGTAGGTGTACTGCCCAACACATTATCCCCTAGGATCGCTCGACATTTCTGGTCAAGTTCATCTTCTGATGCATTCACATAATCCTTCAGTATGTAACAGGCGCACACCTCCTCAAAAAGCCGTTTGTCCGGTACCGAGATCACTACGACCTCCCTTACACACGGGAGTTTATACATCGCTGCTTCAACCACGCTGGTCAAAACCTTCAAGCCTCCACGCTTAATAACGTCATTAGATTTTCCTTTCACAAATAGCTTGCCGTCGGTGGTAATGATCCCAATATCTCCGGTTCGAAACCAGCCCCCATCAACAAAGGAAGCTGTACTCAGTTCAGGAGCGTTTCGATATGATTTTAGCATCCATGGAGATCTCACTAAGATTTCACCCAGCTGTTCACGATGCAGTGTTTCACAGTTGACTCCGATAACCTTGACTTCATATCCTGGAAACAGCGATCCGACATTGCCTTCCTCCATTTTTGGAGTAAGTTCGATAACACACATGTCTCCAACTTCAGTACACCCGTAATTCATGAAGAACTTCTTTGTACATTTACCACACATTTCAGTGAGATGACTGCCGATATTCTGTGAACCTGTAATAATGGAGTACATGATATAGCCGTGTTTGAGGATGGCGTCAAGGTTTGCAATGATATCGACCAAGGCATAAGGGAGGAAGACGGCGTTTGTGCATTTCTCAGCCATGATGATATCCCATATCAACATGATGTTTTCTTTCTTCATGCCTATCGCTGTGTCAACAAACACTCGCTTATTACCATTAAGGATACTATATATCGGAGTGCCTCCTGACCAGGAGAACGGTCGGTCGTTGTAGCAAGTACCGTATGGCATATCTCCTCCTGTTCCTGCAAAAGGGATATAGGAAGCATTCACCACTGACAAATGAGTCATCTCGACCATCTTTGGAACTCCTGTCGAACCAGAAGTAGTAAAAATGAAGGCACTACTCTCTGGTTGTATTCTTGGCAATGCAATTACCTCCTCTTCAGCTGTCAGTTTAACCTCAGCCATCGAGGGGAGAGAGGACAGTGCTGATTTATGTAGCAACATAACTATCGGTTTTTCTTTTGGCGATTCCTCGATAGTGAAGTAGGCTTCCAAATCTGATATGTACTTTTCGTCCGATTCAGGATCAAGCAACACAGCCTTGCTCTGTGTAGACTTAAGTAACTTCATCGTCTCGACGAACGACTCATCTGTCTTGTTAACCTGAAGAGCAACTGCTCCTGTAAGGAAGATTGCGAACTCGCCTATTATCCACTCGATGGAGTTGAGACCAATAATGGCCACACAGTCCCCTGGCACAATTCCTCTAGCGGTAAGATATTTGGCAATATATGTTGACCTGTTTAACAGTTCAGCATACGTCAGTGACCTCCTACCGCCTCCCACAAATCTCTGAACGCATATTTCCTTTTCTGGAGCCTCATTCGTCCTTTCTTGCAACACGTCCGGTATTGACATGTACCGGATATAGGCAGTGTTTGGACATGAAATGTAGCTCAGGTCCGCCATTATAGAATGAGGTCGTTGTTCGTTACTCTCTGGAATTAAAACATGCTATTAATAATTGAAAAAAGAAAGCAACAACCTGGATCTAAATACTAGTGGGGTGACAAATTAAGGGATTTTACAGATGGATTGAAGTGTAGAGGGCAATAACTCTGTTTAAACACGGCTAAAACAGCTATTCAACATGACATTGAAGACATTGTTCGAGTGTTTTAACAAATTTGACCCCGGTGACCTTGAATAAGGGTTAAGGGCATTTCCTTTTCCAAAATGTGCCTGGCATGATGCTGCCGTAAAGGCAAAGAAAAAGAAGCGGACAAAATTTACCTTCGGACCATGGACAGGGCGGAACAATTTGCGACCGTCGAATGCCATATAGTGTTATATACTAGCTTGCATTAAAATAAGATTTTCGTCATCTTAAGAGTGGCTAGCTAGCATGCTATATATCTCACCTTTCACTACAAAGTCAATGTTCGATTTTCTTTAATTTTCTAACAGTTTGAGGAAAACAAGTAATCAAAAGATTAGTCTCAAACTCATTAATACAACTTGATATCATGATTATAAAGCCTATTAAGTTTAAAAAAACCCGATAGAAGACTGAAAACTGTCCGAACAGTATTCAATAACTATAAATAAACAAAGGGCAATAACTTCTGCAAAATTAGTCGAATCAAATGTTTTTTCGAGGAAACATACCTATATATAATGACTATAACGATATCCAAGTTTCAAAGAAATCGGTCGAAAAAAGTAGAGGAAATCGCCGGACAAAAATCAAATACTGAAATAAACAAAGGGCAATAACTTTTGCAAAAATGATCTAATCAAAATTGTTTTTTTGCAAACACAACAACACATCATGTTTATAAAGCCTACCACATTTCAAAGAAATCGATCGAAAAATGTAGGAAGAGATCTCTGGACAAAATAACAAATACTGAAACAAACAAATGGCAATAACGTTTGCAACAATAAATGAATCAAATGTTTTTTTCATGAAAACACAACTTCATATCATGATTATATTGTATACCAAGTTTCAAAAAGATCGGTTGAAAAATGAAGGAGGTGATCGACGGACAAAAATCAAATACTGAAATAAAAAAAGGGCAATAACTTTTCGAAACTGTCGAATCAAAATTCTTTTCGGGGAAACACAACAACATATCATCACAAGAGGCCCATGGGTCTTGACGGTCACCTGAGTTATGTAAAAACTGATGTTATCGATGTTGTTAAATGAAAAAAAAATCATTTTGTAACAAAGGTAACTTGAACTACATGTAATGACAAACTAGTGTGAAAGATCTGGGTAGTACATGTACATGTATATACAAATAGTGGTTATGTCAGTCAGCTGACAGGACATGTCCCTTTAGCTCAGTGGTAGATCGTTGGACTCTGCAACCTGGCGTCATGGGTTCCAAAAAATGTGGCATTTTCTTATAATGACTCCTAATATATAGACGATATGTTATTCATATAACTATAACACACTTTTATACCAAATTTCAGTTTGATGTTTAAAAAAATGACCGAGTTATCATGAGGTATTTAAGTTTTATGAGTACACGTATGAAGCTATCGGCGTGTCACATATGTCTACATGTACGTAGGACTTCGAACGTATAGCTGAACACGGCCAGGCCGGATCATATTGCTTTATTAGCATTGTTTCACTGACATGCCAGATGATATAAGCAATCACGTTAACAATGAGACGTCTGTATTATTTTTTATTTAAACAAGATGTTGCCCCTAAAATGATCAATTTATGCGTAATCTGTGACAAAATAACGCAAGAAAAGTTAATTGATTTGATATTTAATATAAAATCCATTACTATCTCACAAAAGATTGATGAGTCGTATAGAACGGGTAAAGAAACATATTGGTCAGGCGCAGGGTGTTTTACAAAAGAAAGATTAAAAAACAACTTTTGCAAACCAATGAATCGCGCATGATCAAGTTTCAAACTTATGTAGTTCCCGATCGAATTCAGGGTTTAGGTACTTTATAACATTCAACAGTCTCAATACTCTGATGTCGCTTGATTTAGTAAGAATGTTTGAAGATATTGTCTGGCGATGCTTTCTAACTGTACAGGTTAATATACACACGTGCCACGCCACATATCGTAAAATTCAATTAATCATTACTCGGTCAGTTTTTCAAATATCAAATTGAAATTTGGTATAAAGGTGTATTATAGTCATATCAACAACATATCTTCTGAGGTCGCTTACTTTATTCAGTATTTTTATAGATTTTGTCTGGCGATGCTTTTTGTCACTTGAAGACGCTTGTTGAGTTGAAAACGCTTTTAAGGAGGACCGGGGAAATCGGATCTTCTGAAAAATTCCATGAAATCACCCCATTTTTAAAACCCTCTTGTGGTTGGTTCTCTGAAAGATATCGATTTAATTGAATATACTATTTTCTTTAGAATTACTTGGACTAATTATGTTTGGAGATTCGTTTCGTCAGCTTTAAGCGTTATTTCTCGAGGGTGAATTATACAGAAACTAGTGGTCAAAATGTCGATTTTTGCATGTTTGACCCCAAATATAACCATGACTAGATTTTCCCCAGATATAATAGACATACAAGGAGGTAGATCGCACTGAGGTCTCCAAACACGAAAATTTCAGCAAAAGTTATAGAGCCGTTACCTTCGTACTCAAATCGCTGATATACATATTTTATGTATGCGGCAAATTAGCTGCATTTAGCCGTGTTATCATTTCGTTCCGAGGAACGATAACATGGTTATCTTCCCTACTACACTTCCATACTAGTGGGGTGACACCTGAAGGGATGTCACAGATGGAATGAAGTGCAGAGGGCAATAACTCTGTTTAAACACGGCTAAAACAGCTATTCAACATGACATTGAAGAAATATGTTTTAGAGTTTTAACAAATTTGACCCCTGTGACCTTGAATAAGGGTCAAGGGCATTTCCTTTTGCAAAATTTGTCATAAAATGCCATATAGTGTTATATACTAGCTTGCATTAAAATAAGATTTGCATCACCTTAAGAGTGGCTTGCTAGCATACTATATATCTCACCTTTCACTACAAAGTCAATGTTCGATTTTCTTAAATTTTCTAACAGTTTGAGGAAAACAAGTAATCAAAAGATTAGTCTCAAACTCATTAACACAACTTGATATCAGGATTTTAAAGCCTACCAATTGCACGTTTCAAAGAAATCGATAGAAAACTGTAATAGGAGATCTTCGGACAAGATTCAAGTACTAGAAATAAACAAAGGGCAATAACTTCTGCAAAAATAGTCGAATCAATTTTTTGTTTGGAGAAACATAACTATATATCATGACCAAAACGATTTCTAAGTCTCAAACAAATCGGTCGAAAAATATAGCAGGAGATCTCCAGACAAAAAATCAAATACATTTCGTTTTTTCACTTTGTCGCCCGCAAAAAACCCACTAAGCGACAAAATCTCAATTCAGAGAAATGAGGTGGATACAGTCACGTGCAAGACAAAAATAGAAACAGATAAATATTCTGTATACCGACGTACCTGAAGTTTACGATCAGCAATTTAGAATCATTGAGAGAGAGAGAGAGAGAGAGAGAGAGAGAGAGAGAGAGAGAGAGAGAGAGAGAGAGAGAGAGAGTACCAAAAGTATAAAAAAAACGAATTGTAATAAATACAAAATTATGTATAAAACATAAATAAATACGCGGATATAAATTTAGAGAAATGAGGTGGATACAGCCACGCGCAAGACAAAAATAGAAACAAGAGATAAATATTCTGTATATCGGCGTACCTGATGTTTACGATCAGCAATTGAGAATAATAAATGTAACATAATATTATGTGTTGTCGGTAACTTACCCGCAAGTTATTTGTTGAGACTTGCAGTGTTCACCTAACCAAGGATGTGGATGTTTCATGGCTCTGGTCATAGTGACAAATCTCATGTTGATGACATGATAGTTGGATCTCAATGTATCAATATGTTCATGGATAGGAACAGTACAAATACTGTTACGTACTACGCATAGTACAATTACGACGGGAAGTTAATGTCCTTAAGCATCGGATCAACATATATCATTGTATATGATACATTGTGCTCATTATTTCAATAAATGATATAGAAATATTTCTCTTTCACTGTCCTAGCCTCGAACTGGCTACCCTAAGCCTCGAACTGGCTACCCTAAGATTCGAACTGGCTACCCTACGGCACACAGTCGTATAGCCTGGACATATCTTCCGTTCTTACCACTCCCCCACCTAACCACCTTAAATAGAAGATTTTGATGAAGCAGTAATAAACAGCTTGATATTTACAACATGGTAATAGTGACAAATCGTTCATTGATGATATTGTTACCTGGATCACAATATATAGATTTTTCCTAAACAGGAATTGTAAAGATAATATTACACACAAGTGCATTGCTGTTAAAGTTCGCCAGTATATGTCTGTAGTGAAGTAGTTGGAATTCATTCCATAATTATTAAACTACATCACAATCGATGGTGTTTCCAAAGCCTTGCCTTTTATGGCTTCTATTTATAGTACATTGAGAGTAAAAACTAAAACCATTTTAACAAAGCACATGAATATGTCTACTTACCTGATTGCAGTTACGTCTAACTCTGCCGTGTATTAATACGTGTTGAGTATATTTGTGTCGGCTAATAAGATAACGATGCACATTCTGTACTGTTTTAGCCGCACATACATATCAGAGATTGAAACCTAATACGCCATATGTTACATTTTAACCGACTTCAAGCAGTTACCAACATTTAAATACATTATGTACGAAAAAGCTCAAAACAACATGCTGATCGATATTTTATCGAATTATCATATAAAATCAGTCTCAGAAAGCACCGCCTGTGAAGGCATATTATGATTTCCCAGATATTGCAAGGGTTTACGGACCCCATGTGTGTGGTAAGATAGCAGAGTACAGTAGAAACGAATTGACCCTAAAAATAAAGGGCATTTTGAATACGTTTTTTTAGAAGATTTTTTTTCTTTCAAAAAGTGATTTCCCCAGATTTGGGACTTGTGAAAATCATGGTTACCACTACAAAAAACGCAAAAATCATGATTTTAAACCCGAAATTTGACCCACACAAGTAGTTTTTTTTTTTTGAAAACCTGTCTAAATTAAATATCACCTACTCGGTAACATAAATAGTTTTAGTACAGGTCGTTCAACTGGATTTTTCATAATACTTACACATGTGCTGAGTACAAAAATTGACCACATGAAAAGCTAGCTTTTGTTGTGTAGACACAGATTTGTAAATGGCAAAAAATGTAGTCTTAAGCCAAATTCGATTTTTTTTTTAAATGTGAAGCCCACATAGTCCAATTCTTTATGTCTATGCCAATTTAGAGCTGTATTTTTTTTAAAAGTTTTGATACATGTAATATTACAGAGGTTATTCATTGTACAAAAATATCACCCATGACCACCGTACGCTACTGTACACTGCTACATTATACATCACTTTCTTTTTCCCAAAATTTAATAAAAACTTTTTAAATATCTGGAAAATGACACAATGAAAATTGGCTATTTGTTGTGTTTCCTTTGTGTTTCCTTACTATTTAACAACGTTTCCATATCTGATATGTACTTTTCGTCTGATTCAGGATCAACCAATACAGCCTTGCTCTGTGTAGACTTAAGTAACTTCATCGTCTCGGCAAACGATTCAGATGACTTATAAACCTAGAAAGCAATTGCTCCAGTCTAAAAGATTGCGAACTCGCCTATTATCCGTTCGATGGAGTTGGTACCAATAATGGCCACACAGTCCCCTGGCGCAATTTCTCTAGCGGTAAGATATTTGGCAATGTATTTGGATCTGTTCAGCAGTCCAGCATACGTCAGTGACCTCCTACCGCCTTCCTCTAATCTCTGAACGCATATTTCCTTTTCTGGAGCCTCATTCGTCCTTTCTTGCAACACGTCAGGTATTGACATGTACCGAATATGGGCAGTGTTTGGACATGAAAGGTAGCTTAGGTCAGCCATTGCAGAACGACGTCTATGTTCGTTTCTCGCTGGATTAAGAGTTGTTACTGGTTAAGGAAAAAGAAAATACTAAATCTGTCCAGAACTTGATACCGATTATTCGGTTTATATCACCGAAAACAATTTCCACATTTCGAGTATGTGGATAGAATCGAGAGGATGACACAGGTGGACTCGAGATTTTATCCACATGCGACTGATTAGTAAAGGTTTTGAGAACAATCCCTGACAAGACCGTGTGATGAACTTTTTATTTACATCTTCAAGATTCACAATTTACGAAGGCAGACATTCTTATGGCTAATATTCTGTCTAGGCCTCAATCTCACGACCTTCAACACCAAATTGGCTATCCTAGATATTTCCGAGAGTTCTTCTACCCCATCTGATGATATGAGTACTTGAACCTCAATTTAACAATGTATGCATTAACAAGAACTGAACAAATATGTATCACTCTTTACCCGCAGTACAATTACAACAGGTAGTTAATGTCCTAAACCTTCGATCAACATACGTGTGTTCATTAATTGAATACGAGACATTTGTTTCTTGTGATGTAGTTGGAACTAATTTTATAATAGTTAAACTACATACCATTCGACTGTGTTTCAAAAGCCTTGCCTTTTATGTCTTCTATTGAAAATACATTTAGAAACATACTACAACCATTAAAACGAAGCAAACAAATATGTATTCCTATCTTATTGCAGTCACGTCTACCTCTGCCGCCTACCAGTAGGTGTAGAGCATTTTGTTTGTTTGCGGCTGATAAGATAGCTATGCACTATTTAAGCCGGACATTCTTTGTCTTCTTTTATTATTCAAATGTTATGCTGTCACAATTCATGCAACATAATAAATGAAGCTACGGTACTATTTCAATACAACTAAAAGCCACTGTAAGCACGTTCCATGTATCTAGGATATGGATTTAGGTAACTATATGTATACAGTATACACTCCTACTACAAGACCAATATACAAATATAAAACATTGTTTCATTTCTTAACGTCTTATATATCCTACAATGTATATATAGATTGGCATGTTTTGTTAGTATCACCAGTTACATATAGACATTTATTAATCTTTCAACTAAATTCCATTTTCGAATTATATTTTCTTATTTTTATTCAGACGAGTATGTACTTAATCCTCCCTCTTCTACTTTTCTATGAAAATATGTGTATGTTTTGCACTGTGTAATTGTAGGGATTTCTATTTTCCTTTGTGATTTACACAAATATATGTAATATTTTAAGATTAAAAGCAAGAAATTGATTTCATTGTCCATTCCAATTTCAAAAATACAAAACAACAGTTCTAGTGGGTCTCTGGGTAATTCAACTCCAAGAGATACAAGAAAGATGACCAAAGAGACTGTACATGACAACACTGACATCATAAATGTAACAATGTTTCCCTTTCCTCTCCACAAAAAGTGCATCTTTCGGTTTCACTCCATCGACATTGCATCAATTTTGTATTAGTTAATAAGATTCTATTAAATAGTTTAAATTGAACATTTTGAAGTTGTGAGTCATCTGTAATGTATCTATGGATTACATAGTATTTACACCACATTTTCTTTGGAATAAACATTGACTTGAAACAGATTTCAGCATATAGTTAAATATTGAGTTAAATTACATTGTTATTCATCAATCTGTTATGCTTGATGAAAATATATTTCAATGGCCTAGAAAACACCATTATACTCTATAACCTCTATATTTATATTATATTTCTCACATAAGTGTTCATAAGATAAGAAATTATTATTTTCTAAGAGATCTTTTATTAAGAAAACATCTTTTTCACACCAAAGTGTGTACATACAAATCAGTCTATCAATTTTAATATAGTTAATTAACCAAATTGGTTGAGAAACAATGGCATCTGGGGTTGTGGGGAGTGCATCACCAGTTAGCTCTGACCATGCAGGTAGTGAACATTTCTTTCCAAAATATTAAGATGTTTTGAAATTTTTGTTTATCCTTCTTTTTTAATTTTAAAAACTTTATCTCCTCCATATGGCCTCATACTATCTAATATCAATGTTTTCCAAGGTGAAGTTTTTAATGGATCAAGTAGATGGCCTAATATAAGATTTTATATCTTGTCGCCAGATCCTTTCAATTGATGTGATTGTATTGTATTGTAAATGAATTTAAGTAATAAATATTGTTTAAACCAATCAAGTATATTTTTTTTATCCAACACATTTTCAAACCATGACAAAAAGACATAATATGACGTACTCGTAACCCACCTTCGTTATAATTACCATACATATCAGTACGTTTAACTTTATCTATGTTTCCATTCCATAAAACTTCTAATAACCATTTCTTTAGCTCATTGACTATATCCATGGGTGGGGTGGGTCTGGTAAGACAGCTTGCGTTTGTATGAATATTGGCAAAGTTTAAGTTTTTATTACAGTTACTTTTCCATTATATGTAAGGTTTCTAAATGACCAGCCATTTAAAAGTTTCTTTACAGTATATGATTTTGCTTCGAAATTGTCTACAAAAATATTGCCTTGTTGAAAATTTTAAGTAAAACCTAATAATCTAAACTCCCCTTGGTGATTCCAACTCAAATTTTTCCCTGATAGTATTTCCTCTCCACAACTCCGTTTTGCTTCAATCCATATAGCCTGTGTTATTCTATATTTATCCTAAGACCAGAGACCTTTAAATTTCAGGTAAAAAATTAAAGAGCAATGAGTCCCGTAACGCATTTTATTCGCCCACTGGTTTCATTTGTGAACAAACAATTCACAAAATCATTTCTAAGAAGAAAGGGGGGGGGGGGGGGGGGGGGCTACTAAAGAACTAGGTATAACAGGCAACATCCTAAAGTTTATTACGCATATTTTGCAGGATAGGATAATTCAAGTAAGGATAAATAATACCCTATCAGATGAACATACATTAGAAAACGGAGTGCCACAAGGTAGTGTAATCTTTCCTACTCTATTTAATATATATATGAACAAACTAGACTCTCATGTAAAAATCAAAAGCTACAATAAAACCCACGCACGAATAGGGCAATTTGCTCATGACACCAGAATCTGGAAA